AACGGCACTTACCAGCAGTAAAATTGGCATTAACGGCCAGAGCTTGTCATTGTGGTGCCACCTGTCTTCCTGCTACCCTATCTGTGCTCCTCATAATTTTAAACATCTCAATCATGTCCGCTCCCCCTACCCCACCGCTCTAAAGAAAACAACCCTGGTCTATCCAATCTCCCTTCATTAAAAAAAACACCCCAACCCAGGCAACATCTTGGTAAATCTCCTGTGCATCTGCTCCAGCGCAATCATATCCCTCCTCTAATGTGGATTCCAGACCTGCACACAATACTCTAGCTGTGGCCTAGCCAACATTTTGTACAGTTCCAGAATCACCTCCCAGCTCTTCAAATCTATGCATTGGCTAATATAGGCAAGTATCCCATATGTTTTCTTAACTTCTTTATCTCCCTGTTCCACTACGTTAAGAGACTGAAGGCTCAGCACACCAAAGTCCCACTGATCATCAGTGCTTCCCAGGGTCTTACCAAGTACATTACCACACACTTATCTGGATTGAATTCATTTGCCACTGATCAGCCCATCCAACCAGCCTGTCCACATCCTCCTGTAATCTAAGGCTATCATCCTCACTATTTACTAACCTGACAATTTTTGTATTAGCCAAGAAAGTACTGATCAACTCTGGTACTTTCAAGTCTAAGTCATTTATAGGTACCATAAATAGCAAGGGCTCAAACACTGATCCCTGCAGGACCCGACTGGACACAGACTCCCAGTCACAAAAACAGCCCTAAACCATCACTATCTGCTTCCTGTCACTCAGCCAATTCTGTACCCAATTTGCCAAATTTCCTTGGATCCCACAGGCTCTCACATTTGCTATTAGTCTCCCATACTGGACCTTATCAAAAGCTTTGCTGTCGTTTAAGCAGACTACATCAAATGCACTGACCTCACCTACACATCTGGATACTACTTTGAAATATTCAATTAGTCAGACCTGACCACCCCTTAATAAAACCTTGCTGAATATTGATTAATCACTGCTAAAAAAACGAAAACAAAAGGAAGATTTAGAATAGCATATTACAGCACTGATTTTGCACTGGCTGTTTCAAATGGCTTCAGAGATAGCAGGAACTGCAGATGTTGGAGAATCTGAGATAACAAGGTGTAGAGCTGGATGAACACAGAAGGCCAAGCAGCATCAGAGGAGCAGGAAGGCTGACGTTTCAGGCCTAGACCCTTCTTCAGAAATTA